CCCCCCAGTTTTGAAGGATGACAAATGCTGGGGTGCTTTCTATTAGCACTCTTTTTGGCTTTTGATGGGATTGTTTAGTACTGAAAAAATAATTTTGCAGCAGTCTAGATAAAGCAAGCAAGCCTACAGCTTCCAGATTTAACCACAGCAGATGATAAAACAGCTGCTTTAGAAGGATTCAATTTAGAAAGGCCAGTGTGGTTAACACCCATCATCTGAAGAATGCCACTGGCCAGTAATGATGGGTTCAACACTGTGATTCATATCTCTTCCCACCCCAGCGGCAGAGCAGCCTTCATGGTGGTGCCAGGGCAGCAGTCAGCTGTGGCTCCAAGGGAGCAGTGGCATCTGCCAAATGGACTGCCAGGATGCTTCCCATGCTGCTGCCTTCCTGCCTGCTGGTGGTCTGCCATCTACATGGCATACATCTACATCTAAGCTTAGCTTCTGAGGGCGGGTGGTAATGTCTGCAAGGTATATTTTATTACATAAAATAGAGTCAAAATCAGCTGCCAGCTACTGCTTGGCCTAGGTTTCTCCTTATCCTGGATGGAGAATTTTCCTTTTAACAGGCACATGCATTTACACTAATCCAGAAAATCTGGATGTATTTACCTGATGGGTGGGAATAGTTTTCTCATGGGTGATTTAGATATTTCCTTGAAACTCTTCTTATTGGTGAGAAATGCTGTGTGCTTTCCTTTCCGATGTTAAGGCTAAGCTAAAGACCAGTGAAATAACTCCTGTTGGTGTGGGGGAACTTTGAGTCAGGCCTCTGCTGAGTTGCTTTGAAATTATTAGAAATGTAGTACTGAAATTTTAAATTTCAGATGTAAGGTTTTTTTTTGGATTCTCTGAAGACTTGGATTTAAGAAAACAGGTGTTATTGCCAACTAGTTCTGACTCATATTTTCTTGATCATTATTTTTATTATGCATGGAATGATACCTGTCAGAAAACCTTCAGTTGCTGTTGATATAATGAGATCCATATAATGTTGATGTAGAGATCCATAGTGGAGGGAGGAATACTTTACTACAGCATTGTGCAGAGCATGGGAAAATGTCTGTTCTTCAATAGACTCATCTTGATGCATGTTCATAGCAGAGCATGCCAAAGATGAGAAAAGAACACAATCCTTTGCAGAGAAAAGATAAAGCTCAGAGTTACAAATATAAATGGGGTGAAAAAGCTTAACAGAACCAGGCAGGCTAAAGTTTATAAGGACAGAGAGTTTGCTGGAAAGCTGAGATGTCTGGAAAAGGACAAATTTATTTACACAATAGTCTTTCTTCAGAACTAGCGTGTGTATAGCACATTGGATCTGGAACACATTTCCCTCTCCATATAAAAAACATCAGGAGAGACTTAATGGGGAAAAAAGGTATCTCTCTCTACCTGTGACTGCCTTTCAGAAGAGAAAGCTCAAAGTGTGTGTGATCTCAGGATCTCAGCTGACTTACAATTTAAGTCACAGACTCAAGGGTGAGACCTGGATCCAAGCTTCCAGCTTTTCCAGCGTCCTGCTTTAGGGGAACCTCATAACAGAGTAGCTTAGAGGGTAAATGCACAAACCAGACTGGTTTTGAGGTCCTCTCATCTTTGTTATCGTAAGCTTAATACTGCCTTTTTAGAAGGACAATCCAAACTCTTCTGGTGCAGTTATTGGCAACATTTCTGTCTGCTAGCAGTTTTTCTCCAACTACTGAATGCTGCAGCTCCACTAAAGTGAGGTAATCAGCTTCTGCAGCAGCCCATGCTGCTAGGCTACTCCCAATGCTCTGAGGACTCCTCATACAGCAGGAGTAGGAAGATTTTTTTTTGTTTGTTTTGTTCATGTATAGGTAAAAGTATGTACTCTAATCGGAGCCTATAAAGCTTATGATGGAGGCCTTATGGCTTGCTACTTCATCTGTTTTCCTTGGAGTATTCTGAGAGCAATTGTCTTGCAGGATACTGCTCAGCCCTGGTTCATTTTGTCCATCTGTCCTTTGAAGTGCCTGAGTTGAGATGCCCATCATCTCTGCCTGCCCTGATGGCAGGAGATGCTGGGGCTCAGCTGAAAGTAGTCTGGACTGTCCTGAGTGATATTGTGAGAAAGTGGCAACCAGATAAGGCATCAAGTGTTGGAGGCTACTTATATAGCAGGTAAGACATCCTGGTACAAATGCCTTGAACAAACCCTATGAAGCATATGACACCTTCGTCTTTCCTTCGAGTACCAACTGTTTTGCTCTAGAGCCTGCAAGTAAGGTGGTCCAGTCAGTGTGAACTTGGTCCTAGTTGTCAGCTCAAGATAGATATGTTGGTATAGATATGCTCTGTGTGCTGTGCAGCAGTGAAGAAAGGATATGAAAATCCTAAGAGCCTTGAGGATCATTGACAAAGTCCAAATGTTGGCCGTTTTGTCTTTACACCATTTATACCTCTATAATGTGGGGCTAAATCCATCAGACAGGAGAACTGTAAAATTGGCATGACAGTGGAATTGAGCTCAAATGTGCAGTAAGTATACCACAGGAGGAACCAACACTCTGGAATTAATTAAGCTTACAGATTTCAGTCACGTTTTATTATGTATCCTTCCAATTACTTTGTATAAAGCACACATATTGTGAATTTTGAAAAGCTAGAAGTTGAGTGTAAAATTTCAATATATATACACATAGGAAATGTTTAAGTGGTATTTGTCATTGCTGAAATATGTATCTCTGTGACTAATGGTTTTATTATATTTTTCAGGCTTTATCGCTAGTAAGAGTAATGCTGCACTTTTAAAAAGATAATTTTTTTGGTATATGTATGATATAGGTGGGCAGCTGAGGTGCAGCCCATATGTATTTATGCTTGGTTTTGAATAGCAGAAATGTATATGGATCCAGTCTAATACTACGTATAAAAGAAACAAATTATTTAAGTACTAAATTGCATGTCAAAAGTCTTCCTTTTTGGTGCAATAAGTATCTTTTGGTGCAACAGTATGCACTATTACCAGAAGGAGTAGGTGATATTAATTCCTAACAATGACATTATTTTCCAAGATCATATGTCTTAACAAAGGAAGAGAAAAGGTTTCTGGATGTGAGTCTGAATTTATGTTTCCGCTGCAGTAAATGATGTTAATAGTTTGATTTTTCTATGCTGTGAAGCTTGACTTTGGTTTGCAGAGTTTGAATCTTAAGTCTGTGTAAATATTGCAGTAGAGGTTGAAGGTGAAGAAATGATAATATGGTACTTGAAATAAAGTGATTTTGCTAACAAATCAGTGAACATTGTCTATTTATGCAGGAGCAGTGGTTAAACCTCTGCTATGGAGTTTACTTCATAGCTTGATGAGATAGTTCCTCGCTTGGGAAGGCAATGTGCCCATTAAATCTTCAGGCTGGTCAGCTAGGGGAAGATTTAACTTTCTGTAGTTTAGAGTAGTGCTTTTGACATTGTCTCTGTGATCTAGTGGCATGGTGTTAAATGGTATTAGGACCTAAATTCAATAATGTGGAAAATAGGATGGCATATAATCAAGTGAGGCAATTGCTTTGTACAGTAAGAAAAATTGAAAATATTTCTTGTAATTTAACCATGGCTTGGCATGACCTTGCTCTGACACCATGACTCAATGACAGTCCTATCCTCAGGAGAACGAGATTTTTAAAGCCTATTATTAACTTCCTATGGGCAAACAAACAACTGGAGAAGAAATGGGGTCATTTGTGGTTGTTTATTTCTTTCTCTTCCTGACACTTCCTCCTGATTCTTCCTAGTGCCTGGAGCCCTGCAAAGAGTCCTGGGACCTGAAGAAAAACCATTGCCAAAGCTTCTGTGATGTAAGTCAGCCCAAGGGCACTCTTTCTCACTTTGTTCTAGCTGTCTTTTTCATTTAAGTTATTATCTTCAAGGAGACATGGGATTTTCGCAGCATTTGTCTGCATTTGAATAGGTAAACATATAACAATGTAGCTGTATTAAGTTTGAGTTTAACAAAAAAGAAAAAAAAAGTTTGGGTTGGCTGTTTCTTTTTTTTTTTTTTTAATTTTTTTTTTTCCTGAGCGAATGATTTATCTCAGCTTGAAGTTTTAAGATCCAGCCACACTTACATAGCTTCTCTTGGAAGGTGCTGTTAAATCCCTCCTGTAAGATGCTATTTCTACCACATGCTGTTCTATCTTTTCTGGCTATAGAAATAAAGAGTAAGAAAGAGCATTTTTGTTTAAAGATAAAATGTCATAGGGTGAAAATCCTTGTGTAGGGTAGCTAGAACAGATGCTTTCCTGTATGTAAAAGTTAATCTGATTTCTAGAAAAGAAAAAAGAAATGGTTTTGCTGGATTTGAAACATGGTTCTTCTGAGTTGGTGGAAGTCAACTGTTCTGAGGTAGTTTTTAGTAAAAAATGGAAATATAATCTCAGTTGAATTTATACTGAACTAAATCAATATAAAGATACAAGCTTATTCAAGTCTATGAAAGTGTATATTTATGAAGATTTTAAGCTCTTTCTATAAAAAAATAGAAGTGACCTTCATTGAAATAACGATCTCGCTGCTAATACTGATAGAACTCCTCCCTTGCCACTCTGGGCACTCTTTTTCCAATACAAGATAATGTTTTATGTTTAAATGACTTTAAGCATTATGCATATGATTGGGAAAATCTGAAATCTCAAGTAAAAAAAAAAAAATAGATCTAGTTATGTGCAAATAGGGATTAGTGATCTAAGTATTTACAAGACAAAGTAAAAACTTCTTATGAAAACCAATCCTTGTATGAGCTTTTTAGCACAGATTAATTGCTGTTTCCTCATACACAAAACTCTAGGGTAGTGTAATAAAGCATTTTTAGTGGATCTAATTTATGTTGATCTTATATATCACTTCTCTCTCAGGCTATATGTTTCCATATTTGGGTCAAAATATGTATAAAATTGGTTTAAAAGGAAAACATTTGTAGAACAGTGTTCTATTGTAGTTAGAAACAGTGAGCATCCCTCCTTGATTAGTGTTTTGTGGTTGAAGCTAAATTTAGAACTTCAAAGGCCCTTAATGAAGAGCAGCACATTTAGCAGCTAACTGAAAAATGAGCTGTGAAATAGGGTGAGGAAGAGAAGCCTTGAGGACGTATTATGCCTCAGGGAGCTATGAAGATTTTAATTAAGTAGCTGCAAATTTGTGATGTTTTAGGATTTGAAATTAGTTTTACACACACAAAAGCACAGGGCCACTTTCCTCTCTCTCAGACTCATCTATGCTCCATAGACATTGTTTGATTGAATTAAACAAGACTGTTTGCCTTTGAGAGTGTTTTCAATCTTTTTGTATTCTGTAAAAAATCTGGAAGCAACAATTTAGCGTTATGTTTCTCAAGGTCCCTGCTTGGTATGTTACTTCTTATCTACTGAATGAGTGTACTAATATTAAAGCAACCTTATGTGTGAGGAAGAAAAGAAGACAGTTTGCTTCTTTTTTTCCCTATAAATTCAGTTTCCTGCTGGTAGCTTCTTAACTGGCTAACCATGGGATCAGGTGCATCCCAATGGCAGGAATAGCGTGAGTCCATGTGCAAAGATCACTAAGGTCGGTAGGAGATATAAGGACCTCTCATTTTTGTCATTCTTTAAGCTGGTTAAGCCATAACAGCCAAATGCATCCTTAAAAGCCTGATTCAAAAATTCTGGACTGTTCTGTATGACAAGATGGGAGAGGTAATGTAGTGGCATTGTTCTTAGACCAGAGTGACTTTTGAGAATAAACTGACACACAATCTGTGAAATACCTGGGCCTCCATAATGCTGAAGTCTTTCTCATTTTGCCAGAAATATGCAAACAATAAAAATAAGAAAGTAAAACATTTGAAGATGGAAGGAAGTTGAAGAAGTTATATGAATAATTGGATAGAGAGTGGGTTATAATTCCTGTGTAGGCTTAGGAATCTGTAAATCAGATCTGTCAGAGTGGAAGGTTTTTGGTTACTCTGAGATAGAAAGGCAGGCTGTAGATAACCCCAGTTACATGGGTTGCCTATCTGCAGTTGCACCAACCACTTTGAGGGAATCACTTTAGCTGGTTTTGCACCAAACTAGATAAATCGCTAGATGAAAGATAATATGAAATGCCCACGTCGCACACAAAGTTCTCTCCAGGGTGCTAGATGCTTTCTTAATGCAGTTTTAAGTGAACCTTGCAAACCTCTGCATAATAAAAATGCTATGTCTATGCACTGAAGCAACTGGTCATATATCTAGGACTTGATTTCTCAGAAAAGTAGCATTTACGTTGATCTTTAATCAATATATTTAAGCCTTATTTTAATCTGTATTTTTTGTTAGTCTATTTATCCGAAATTTAGTTCCAGGTCCATGAAGAATTACACAATTACTAATACTCTGGCAAGAACATAAAGATGCTGCAAAATCTTCTCATAACCAACTCAGTTTAAACAGTATAATGAAACAAGATTGCACTTATTTGTCTAGAGTGGCATTACATCAGTTATTGTGGGTAAAGTGTTATGAAGTACAAATGGAGGAATGCAGGGTAGTCCCAAAAAAAAGACTGTCTGACCATTGCTTCCCTTTCATTTTGGACATGTTTTTAATCTGTCATTGTGCAACTTTGTAGCCAGCCAATGTGAGAGAAACAAGGGAAAGCTGGCAGACAAAAACAACTTACTCTGTTAAAGATGGTGGTCTTGAGGGAATTCATCATTCTGTACTTGGAATGATTTTTTAGAAGTGGCTTGAATATATAAATCTTCAGGGATAGTCTTGCAAAAGCCGAGAATCTGATTTTTTTCTTTAGGAGGTCTTGGAAAAAGTACAACTTCTAAATTAATTATTTATTTTTCTTCCTGTTGAAAACTTTATACAATTCTTTTGCTTTCCCTTTAGCCTCTTTTCCCCAAGAAGAATTATGAATGCCTAACTAGCTGTGAATTCCTTAAGTACATCCTGTCTGTGAAGCAAGGGGACTGCCCAGCACCTGAGAAGGCCAGTGGTTTTGCAGCTGCCTGTGTTGAAAGTTGTGAAGCTGATAATGAGTGTTCTGGAGTGAAGAAATGCTGTTCCAATGGATGTGGGCATACATGCCAAGTTCCAAAAAATCTGTACAAAGGTAGAGATTATTAATATGTACTCATACTGGGCTAATAACTTCAAGCCATAATAAAGTCTCCTCAAAAAAAAAGTCTTTCATTTCACATGAGTTTATATGGAAGGGAAGAAAAAAGAGAGGTGCCTGTAGAGATGTGGCAGGACACTGAAAAAGTGGAAAGCCAGAGAAAAATGTTGCTTAGCTTTTGGATTTATTTTTTTTTTTCCCTCCTTGTGAAGCCGATGTCTGGAAATCTGTGAAATGTAAACATGTGGCTATTATGAATCATCTTAAGCAGAACAAACTTGCCAATTTAGGTGAAGTCTCACTTAATTTAATGCAGATGAGAGAGAATGCAGCAGGAAAATATTTAACAATAAATAGTCCAAGTCCTATTAATCACACATAACATTTTTGTTTATAAGCCAAGCAGGTAGGACTACTAAATAGGATGTGTTAGATAAGCTGGTAAAACAACAAATTAATGTGGTATATTTGACATTGGCATTCTTAGTGACCTAAAAAAAAAATAAAATAGTGAACGATTATAAAATCCACATATATATGTATATTTATTATTTAAATCTAAGGCAGTATTATTCAAAAATTTTAATTGAGTCCTGAGATTTTGTGAAAAAAGGTTTTCTTTGACATCCATGGGCAAGAACTTATACACGAAGTAATGATTTGCTTAGATAAACTCCAGATGTTAATTTGTTTGAATTATAAAAAGCTTTATACATGGATATATTCTCAAAATGTGCTTCTAATGCAGAACAATTAACATTTATGAGATGCATTTTCATGTTCCACAAAGTTGGAATGTTTTGTTAGAAATCCATTCTCCTTACTTCAGTGATAAAAAACAAATATTAATTAGTTATTCTTCTGATAGCATGGGCTCTCTGTGGAGACTCTAATCAGCAGAACTCAGAACTAAGCTCCAGGCTCCAGGATTTATTTCTGTGGATGGAAAAATAAAATATGTGAAGGAGATGGTGATTTTATTTTTAAGTTCATTGTTTTAACTGAAATGTTGATGCATCTTTTTGAATGTCTCTAGTGATGAGAAGGTATGTCAGAAATAATGTGCTTTGACTTTTGAATCCTGTCATTGAGTGTACAGGATGGGCTGTCATGAAGCACTGTCTTATTTACTTACATAAATGGGGAAAGTTTTATCTAGAAGTCATAGAGGTTGAGTAAGCATAAGACTGATGAAGGTAGAACTCAAAGTATTTTGAACAGCAGGCAATAGTATGATCTAGATTTCCAGTACAGAAGGGAAATTCTCTTGCTTCCAAGATACTTCAGAGCAGCCCCTTTAAAACTGTAAGGAATTAATACACTCTTGTACACAGCACCTTTCAAATGAAAATTATTAAAATTTATCACTTAGGTATTTCTTTCATCTTCTTGAGACAAATAATCAGAGTGATAAACTGGCATTTGTATTGTATATGTAATGATTTACACGATCAGGCTTCATACCAAACCTACAAAGCATTGCAGTAAATGTAATAGCTGAAAAAAGGTAAAAACAAACAAAACAAGCAAAAAACCCAACTAAAATAAGATACACGTGTTTGCGGAGGACATAGGGTATGACAGGATATGGTATGTTGTGTAACTGCACACTGGAGAGTCTGCTACTATTCAGCCTGATTATAAAGGAACAGAATTAACCTCTAACATCTTACCACCTATCTGCAGGAGGTGCTTGCTTGTAAGAGCATATATGCCTTGCAGAGGAAGGGCAAGCACAGTACCTTACTGCCTTCTCAGCTGATGAATTCACCTAATTAGCCTCTTCAACCTGTCTTTCTTCAACAAAGGACAAATAGAAGCAGAGCAGGCTTGCTATTCATTTCCTCCAAGGGTAAATGACCTTCCTGTCACTAAGGAAGAGCAAACTCTGCAGCATGTCTAAGATCTTCTGAATGAGTTTAGTATTTACTCTTATCATTTTGACAACACTCACAGCTGGAAAATGAATTCAGATTGAATCAGATAGAACTCCTGAGTCTACAGGAGTTGCTGTAGTTTTACTGTTGATTAAGCTCATAGTAGTAACAGCAGTAGATTTAAAATACCTATCTGATTTGCTGGATTTACAAGCTGGATTTGCCCTCTAGTAGTGAGTGCTAAATCCCAATTCTGAAAGAATATTAATGTAACTATGCTGCCACCAAAGTCATATATTGCAAATGTTGTTAGATTAACATAAAATTATTATTTATTTAATTATTTATTGGCTTGCATTCACTATAAACTGTCCATTATCATTGTATTTTTTCATCTTTGTTGGAAGTATTCCTAATCAGTTACATAGTTTTCACATTTTTAGTTCCCTCTACTGGAGATACCAAATGTTCTGTCCTACTCTTCTGTTATGGTCCTCTACCTCCTCCTTTACATCACCTCAACTAGTGAAGGACTTTAGAAAAGTGTCGCTTCTCCATGGCCTACTTTTTTTTTTATGTGGACATAATGATGTTATAAACAACAATAAGTGCCTGAAGTAGATTTGGTACATTAGAAATAGAAATGGGAGCAATATCTTGGATCAGAAATAAAGCAGTTCAAAATGCAGAAGAAAAAGGAATGAAAAGGATGGAAAGTGTGTGATCACATTCACTTTGTCTGACATGCGCTTACACATTCCCCAAGGAAGGACAAGGACGTTTATCTTTTTCTACACACAGCTGGTGGCAGCTGAAAAAATTACCCATCATCTTTTTTTCATTCAGAAGTTAGTGGTCTCTCAGATGTGATGATATACCTACTTGTGTGAACTTTCCAGGGCCTCTTTTTAACAGAAATTTAGGGTTCATTCTGTCTAAAGCAGCCTAACTAGTTTTGTCTGAAACGTGTAAGGGAGCAATCCATACAGCAGACTGAACTACGGATCTGGGCAAGGTAAATTGTAAAGAGAAATTATGATATTTAAAGGGTGTGATGGTATGACAACATCACAGTAGAGTAGCTGGAGCCAGATGGTCACCCATAGTTTAAAGGCTCTTTTCATGCTTAAAGAAAAATAGTTTTGTATTAAAAAAATAGTGTACAGTTTTAAAAGTGCACATCTCTGAGTCTTTGAACAACTGTGTTACAATGGTACAGATGCCAGGAGTATACCTCCTACAGTCCAAAACCCTTCCATGGAAACTTATGAATTCCTGGGCATCTGACATTTAAAATAGAGATTCTTATGATGGACCAATGTGCATTTATGTTTTCATGGCACAGTGATGCATATGCTGTTTGAAAGACACCTTTAGAAACATTTTTCCTCGATTCTGGTATTGCATACGTACAGCAATCACAGATTTGAATTCTTCAGTTAAGCACTGTGGACTTCAGAGGACTAATTTGTTCGAGCACAATGAAAGGGCTGACCATTTACATAATAAAAAGCACATTGAAGAGTAATTGGGTCTACACATCCGGATATTAAATTGATGGTGCTGGCTATAGAAAAGTATTTTAAAATGCACTTGTGCGGTGCTCTCGCCGTTTGCGCTGCTGCGCCCCATCTGCGCGCAATTATGTAACAGCAGAGAGACTTGAGATACTTGCAATCAAGTGCGTCCAACTGCCCCTAATGCAAAGCAGATGGAAGTTTTCTTAACATGCAAATTATAGGATTATTGTACATCATAATTAAAGAATGGTTTTCAAATGTGGAAATCCAAGCTGACATGTTCTGTGATTTTCATTATATTAGACTAAGACTGCAGGCTGTTGGAGGATATCCAGGCTTTAAACTGCTGTGATAACCAGATTTAAGTACTGGGTTTCCCTCAGGTTGATTTTAGGTTTCTTCAAGGGCTACAAGATCAATTTTTATTTACTTGTAGCTAATTGTATAATCAGATTTAGGATAAGACCTCTTAAAATATAAAAGTGATTTGTTCACCTAAGGAAATTTTTGTATTCAGTCATCCATGGCAGACTGAGTAGGAAACAGTTTATCAAACTAACACATACAGCTATAGTTCTATGGATTCCCATTGAAATGACAAAATAACTAAAATGCATGTAACTTGCTAAGAAGGTTTATATGTCAGTATAGAAATCTTATTTGTGACATATTCTGAAGTGACAAAATGCTGTGCACTGAAATATGTGAGTTCCTAAATTCTGTCTAGAGAAATGTACGTAACACTTGATTTGTTGATTTAATCAAAAGACGCCAAATTTGAGGAGTTTTTTCCTTCAAGCTACTGCAGATGTTTTAAAACCATGATGTTACTAGCAGTATAAACAATGGAACCATCCTTCAGTGTCACTGCATAATGATAAATTACTGTAAAATTTTAGAAACACATCTTTGTCTCCAAAATGTAGTAATTGGAGATTGTACATGAGAGCTATCTATTCCAAGATGCCTTGGAATTACCTTTCCTATATATTTAGGGAAGAATGGATAGTGACACATCATACAATACAGCTGCATATGAGATAGTAAGGTCTTGCTGCCATGAAGAAGGCAAACAGCTTTCTTAAGTATATCAGACTAATGTAAGATGTGTGAAATGGTAAGAGTTTAGACACAGCCTGTGTTCAGTTTTAGGCCTGACTCTGAAGAAGGGTTGTGTGCCAATGAGAGAGTTTCCAAAAAAACCTGCAAGAAAGGTCTAGAAATACTGATTTAAAAGAAAATGAAGTGCACTGATGTTATTAGACTGAGAAGAAAACATTCAGGGGCATGACAACAGTCTTGAGGCACATAAAAGGCTCCTCCATAGATGAAAGAAAGAATATGTTCTCCACAATCCATGAACATCATGGACAACTATCAGGTTTAACTGTAGGAGACTAAACACGGTAGTGTGAAAGGTTTTTAATGGTAAGGATAGAAGTAGTGGAATGAATTACGATGTCATGGTGTGGGAATTCTGTCATTAAATGTATTTAAGGACAAATTAGGTTAAAAACTGAGCAACAGGAATATCTGATTCTGCTTGGGATTAAAGGGATCTTTCTCCAGATTATTGAAGCATATCTGGGAAGTATTTTCTGTGAGATCGATTTTAGCTTACAACTTTGAGATCCTTTAATTTTTAAATGAAATAAATAATTTTGAAGACTTCTGTAAAAACAAATTTTACTGTTAGCAGAGAGAGGTCAGCTATGAGCCCTCCTGAAACACCCGTGCTCATCAGCCTATCCATTCCCCACTTTTTCCATCCGTCTAGCCAACAATCTTCTTTTTCCTTAGGTATTTTTTGTACGGCTTAATCTATATACGGTTTAATCACATCTTTAAATTTTTCATATATTTTTGTCTGCATGTTCCTATTACAGGTGTTCCACTGAAACCCCGGAAAGAATTAAAATTCATAGAACTTCAGTCTGGTGACCTAGAGGTGAAGTGGTCTTCAAAATTCAATATTTCCATTGAGCCTGTGATCTATGTTGTTCAGAGAAGGTGGAATCAAGGAATCCATCCAAGTGAGGATGATGCTACCAACTGGCAAACTGTGGCACAGGTCAGTTCTTTATAAAGTGAAACCGGTCCCTACCTTAAAGACCCTGATTTAAAGGTTGTCTTCAGATTGGAGAAGAGTTAGATCACTTACAACTGGGGAGACTCATGCAGAGGAATCCCTTTTTAGGGTCTCTCTTCAGGTCACAACAATGGTGCACACAGAATCCAGTCTCCAAGGTTTTCCTACACTGCTCAATGAACCAGATTAGACTGGTTCATTGGTTTCTAGACTGACTCAGTACTTCAGTATTTTTACTTCCAGTTTTTCAGCATCAGATGCTTTTGGTATTAAAAATGACTTCATAAAAAATATGTGAGTTTATCAGTAAAGAAATAATTAATGGTTTCCTTGTCCCCAAAAGAAAAAAACCCTCAGAAGTTTAGGTTTTCAAGATTGGTTTATTTTGTAGGTTTGCTCGCTGTAGATAAAAACCTACAGAACTAGCTGGAGGCTTGATTTGCGTAAGGCCAGTGAGTAGCACTTTCTTGTAAGCACATACTTATGATCTATTCAGATGAGAATTCCAAAGTCTCTGAAAGTCATAAATCTCTTGAAAATTGTAGAATTCAATAGCAAAATCCATTGAAGGAAGCATATAAGGGAAATAGTCCTTCTGAGGTCAGTGGGACTTGGTACATAGTGTTGAAAACATGGCTTGTGTCCTATGAAAAAGGTAAGAAATATAACTGGTGAAAAGGCTATTTTTAAAAATAAACCAGGAAAAAAAAATGAAATCTTTATTCTCTGTAAAGTTGTTTTTTTCAGATGTGGCCCTCCCAGTCTGGAAAAGCCTATGATGTCATGCTCTTATCACTCAGTGCAATCCAATCTGAAAATGTAAGATTCATGAGCAAATGTTTCTTAATGAGAAGCAGCCAACAGAGCATAAATTTTCACTTCCTTCCTTCCCAGTTTCAATCTGTTTTTTAACATGCTGACAGTCCACCTGGATGGCAGAGTTCCAATCGTTTATCTTAACTGCTTCACCCCCATCCCTGCTGACAAGAAAAGTAAAATGCTGATTTTGAAAAGGCCTGAAAAACATCATTATAGCTGGGAAAAAAGGGAAAGAAAGAATAAATAGAACCACCTACAAAATAAAGTAAGGAGTTTACATTCTGTGACAATCTGTGTTCATTCTCAATTCAGATTGTGTAGAAAAAAGCTATCTTAAAATAATGTCAAGCTTGCGAAACTGAACACTCAGAAGTGAAGTTCTTAGCTTCAGTGTGATGGTACAAGGGGCTGTCACTATGCTAGAGTCTTGCTTAGAAAAAGTCACCTGCAGCAGAGCCTGGCATGAAACCCTGCTTGTACAAGCCTAAGGGAACGTGCACATCTCCAAACCTGATAAAGTCTCAGTGACATATTTATTATCAGCTAAGGTGCAGGTCTCAAATCTACACTGTCCATATTCAGCAAACAACCTTCCGTCTTTGCTACCAGGAAAATATCATGTAGCAAAAATGAGCCAGATCTGAATTAATCCTCACTGTTATCATGCCTTGTATATGTGCTAGACTGTTGAAGCCCAACTCTTTTGGCTGTTGGATCCAGACTGCAAAGGTCTGGAGGAAGAGCACTGCTGTGAAACAGACCTCATATATATTTCTGGAAGCATGCACTGTATATGCTCCACTAATCCACTACAAACCTCTGCCTTGCAGTGGATGTACAGGAGAGAATGTTTGAGAAACATCTTCCTGTGTAAGAGTGACAGGAACCCTGACAGCTGCCTTTGCTGTGGGTCTGTTATATGGTGGTAGAAGTGGCCAGCTTAATCACTGTGGCATGAGAAGCTTCCTCCAGCTGACATCTTTCTGACAACTTCGCTGTCCCTTCTGCATCACAAGAGATGTGTTTTTGATTATGTGATGGACCCTACTGGGGATGTCAGTTCAGAACAATCTTCAGGGTGCCTGACTGGGTTTGTAAACTGTGTACACCTTATGGGACATACAGGCTGGGCACCACAAGTAATCAGAATTTCTGTCTCTTAAGAATAATGTACCCCCATGGTGTTTGTAGTTTTAGACATCCCACCAGGCAGTCACATTTGTTAAGTGTGGCTGCATTCAACAGAATTTCTTTTGCCATATCAAGCAAGCAAGATGGATATCCAGTTTGACTAATGTGACTGTGTGCACAGCCTCTGGGCTTTTCTTGTCCATACAACTGAGAATTTTTTCGTGTATGATTCCTAAACATTGGGGTGTGAGACCTTAATTGTCGGCAAAGGCTATGAAGAGCTCAGCCATTTGGTATTGAAAAAATGATTTTGAACAAGTTTGTTTGCTTTGTATTGTATTGTGTCATCAGGTCATTAAGAGAAAGGCTCAATCTATTAATACATGATTTATTTAAGTCTCCAAATCTATAAAGAAATCAAACACACTTAAAACAATTTTCGTTATTTTTCCCTTCAGGATCAAGGGATTTTGTTAACTTTAGGTTTTTACTACATATTTTTGGGAAAACCTGACATAATTAACTAATTGACTAATTTCCATTGGTTAACATAACTATGGGAACTAAGATACTAGTTAGCTATGGTGTATGGTGTCCTAATTGGTTATGCAAACTTACACTGCTGTTTTTCAAAGTTTAATCAGCTGAACAGGACCTACTCCTCTATCCCATGAGAATACCTACTGAAGAGGCTGGCAGAGGAGCTTACTAAGCCACTCTCCATTATTTATTAGCAGTTCTGGTCTAGCAGGCAGGTCCCTGAGGATTGGAGGTTGGTCAACATGATGCCTCTATAAAAAGGGCAAAAAGGAAGACTCTGGAAGCTACAGGTCTGTCAGCCTGAGCTCAGTGCCAGGGAAGGTCATGGAGCAATTGATCCTAGGTGAAATCATAAAGCACATGTGGGAAAATGGAGGGATCAGCCCCAATCAGCCTGGGTTCATGAAGGGCAAGTCCTGCTTCTATGATAAGGTGATCCACGTGGTTGATGAGGGAAAGGCTGTAGACATTGTCTATTTGGACTTTATTAAAGCATTTGATGCTGTCTCCCACAGCATTCTCCTGGAGAAATGGGCTACTAATGACCTGGATAGGTGTGTTCTTCACTGGTTTAGAAACTGGCTGGATGGCCAAGTCCAAAGAGTGGTGGTAAATGGTGTCACATCTAGTTAGTAACCAGTCCCATGTAAAGGTGCTCAGCGGAAAAGGGCCTGTTGTGTTGGTTGACAGCCGGCTGAACATGTGCAGCTTGTGCCCAGGCAGCCAAGAAGGCCAATGACATCCTGGACTGTATCAGAAATGTAATAGGCAGCAGGGCCAGGGCAGTGATCATCCCCCTGTACTCACCACTGATGAGGCTACACCTCGAATCCTGTGTTCAGTTTTGCGCCCCTCATTACAAGAGAGACACTGAGGTGCTGGAGCAGGTCCAGAGAAGGGCAACAAAGTTAGTGAAGGGTCTGGAGCACACACGTGATGAGGAAGGGCTGAGGGAACTGGGGTTGTTTAGTCTGGAGAAAAGAAGGTTCAGGCGGGACCTGAGAGGAGGTTGTAGTGAGGGTGCTGGTCTCTTCTCCCAAGTAACAAGCACTAGGACAAGAGGTAATGGCCTCAAGCTGCGCCAGGGGAGGCTTAGATTGCATATTGCGAAAAATTTCTTCACTGAAAGCGTGTTCAGGCATTGGAACAGGCTGCCCAGGGAAGTGGTGGAATCACCATCCCTGGAGGTGTTCAAAAATCACGTAGATGATGACCTTAGTGGCATGGTTTAGTGGTGGACTTAGCAGTCCTGGGGTGATGGTTGGACTTGATGATCTTAAAGGTCTTTTCCAACCTTGTTGATTCTATGATTCTACTGTATATCTAATGAACAAACTTACCGTTCTGTTTGGTGCTAATTCTTTCCTAAAATAGTAGTATTACTGTTTACATTTGATATGTTAGATATATTAATTGCATTAAGTTAATTAGTGAAATTAACTCAAATATTCCAAGTTAGTTATTTTTAGACAGAATATATGTGTGTTGCGTGAATGGATGTCAAGAATGCGTGTACATATATGTACACACGTATGTATGTATGCATATGGGCAGACAATAATGAGTTTACCCAGTAGTTTATTCCTTTATTAGAAAAAAAACAACCAACCACTCAAAACAAAACAAGGACTACATTTATTGCTAGCTTGATTGTGACAGACTTTAGTGCTTCTCCTTAACTTAAAGTTTCTGAGACACCTAAAATGCTGTTTCTGAGCATCATAAGAAATTTCTCAGTCCTCAGCAGTGAGAAATCACTGCTGAAGTTAACCACCAGTCCTGTACACTAAAGGTTTCTTTCTCCATCTTCCAGGAGCAGTTTGCTTTGGTAAGCGTTCTTGGAGAGTGCCCACCTTGTGTGGGATTGCACTCACATGAAGCAGGGGAGGTCTGCTGTCCTTTGATAGAGTAGTAGATGCGGCACTGTCAGGTTTCTTCTGTGTCAGAGGAAACAAACTCAGCTCTTCTGATACCCTGGATGGTGTCCCTTTACTCTCTGAACTGCAAATTCTTTTATCACTGTGTGTTGTTTCAAATGCAGGTGTAGGACTAGTAACTCAGCAGGGTAAGGCTGTCCTCTCCTATTTCCATTAAACCTTCGTACTACAGAAAGGAATCAGGACTGACAGTGTGAAAGTAAGGGAATGAACACAGTGGAAGAGTCCATTTGATACTGTAGTCCTTGGATAAGGGAGAGTCCTCTGCACCAGTCTTTGCTACGAAGACCTTGCACCAATTTTTACATAGATAGATAGATAGATAGATATATGACTGAAAAAAAAATCCTTGGGGTGGTGACACAAGATTCCCATCTGTCTGGCCTAACTCCTTTTCTGCTGGATCATATATTCTCTTTCTTCTTCCACCCCATTCCTTTCCCTGAGGAGAAGTTGTAACTTTCAGCCTTCCTTTCTCTGAGGAGCAGTTTTGCCCATGAATGTAGAACATGGTCTAATTCAAAAAAGCATGCAACATCCAAGGTGCTGCAGAATATTTTCTCCCATCCTTTCAAAGGAAGGGATTGAACACAGGTCATCCACACACTGGGTAAGTACTTTAATCATTAGTCAGTTGTATGAGCAGCACGGGGAGATTTAGGTAGGCATTTTGAAGAGGGTAGCAGATAATCCCCTTTTGAAAGACTGGGTGAGGGTTCTACTTTCAAGAGAGGTCTCAGGGCTTGAACAGTTAAGGGCTGCTGGAAGATGAGTAGAATTGTCAGTGCTTCCAAAATGGGGTGGCTCTGGGCAGATCTTAGCTAAATTCTCACTGGAAAGCATAACCACTTTCTTCTTTCTGGCCACTGGAATTGGCCTGTTGTCCTTGGGCATAAAATGCACTCTTGAGAAGAAGAGTGAAGCTATTCTCTCTGTTCTCCAGATTATGTCATTGCGATTACATGCTGCTCTTATATAAAGTTGTATCCTGGTGTAATTCATGGGAACTTTCCCTTGTCTTCACCGAACTTTGGATGGTGCTAAAGGTTGACATGTTGGCCAGTGATTTTTATCTGAGGATTCATTTGTTATTTTATACCAAATGAAACACCTATTAAGATTGTAAGTTAGCTTCAAAACATTCTTTTTTTAATTAAATAGGTAATGAATACCCAAAATAAATACTAATTATGATCCCATAATGATATTTTAGGGTTTTATTTATGATTCTTAAAAAACCCAAACCCTAGCATTCTAAGAAATCAGTAAAATTATTTCTCTAATATTCAGGCAGAATTTTAGGTGTGTGATGAAATTCAAACATTAGTTACTTAACACCACTTAACAAACCATTTAGTGTGGTCTTACATTTATATAAGACAAATATTGAAAGGACTGAAAATTATGATCACAGCTCAAAACATACTTAAGTAATGAGAAGTAATCTAAAGCAACTAAACTAAAAAAAACCAATTTACAATTAAGGTAGTATAAGATATCTCAGTAGTGTTTAGCTCTTTCTTGAAATTTATCAAATCTATGTAAAAGTTGCTCAGAGGTGCCAAGTAGTTTGTAATGCAGGAATTACAGATACACCCCTTGCATGCCGTTTAGTTTAACAGGAGCTTTGCCAACAAAATGAATGATGAAGTAATAGGCCCAAGGCATGTTCATAAAATAATTTTGGTAATATGGATTGGCAGATTATTTGATTTTACAGTATTTCGTGGTTGCCATGGAAGACTGACACAACTGAGATCCTTTCTTTTAATTAGTCCTAGCAGAATAGCTGATGCAAATGACAAACAAGATTCTTTAGCTGAGAAATTTGGGGTCAAGTCTGTTCAGATCATACTTGCCTTGTAACTACATTTACCAAATCTGTTTTTAAAAACCCAAGTAGTTAATTAGAATTAGGTATTGGTTCTGATGCTGATTTCAGTTGCAGCATTAGCCTGAATATATCCCTGATTTTTTCCTGTTGATATAATGATAGTTTATATTACTCTAGTTCACTGTTGTGCCTTATCTATAATTTTTTGAGAATGTGTGCCTGCATGCTGGAAAAAAACTAGCACATTTGAATGCTCCATAAAATGAAGCATGAAAGTAATAGTAAAAGTTGGTTCAGGTAGACTTTTCCTTCCCTAGGGGAACCTTTTGACTGGAGGAGATAATTCACTCTACAGGTAACATAAAAGCTGAAAAAAAGAAAAAAGATGCAGATGATGAAAACATCTGGAAGGTTCCCATGCTTAAACAAAGACAAATTCAGCAGTCTGAATGTGAGGGGCTCTAAGTCTGCATCACTTACCAGTCTGAGATCAGTTAATAGCGCAGTTTAGAAAGGCTGTCTTTCCTTTACATGCACACACAATTGAGCTATCTCTTTCCATAAATTTAGCTTGTCACCAAATGAAGAGATTAAGTGCAGGATTGCACCTACAGATCTAAAAATGCCATTACTGGAGAGCTAAAGCAACTTCCTCAAGTTCTGGCCATCATTAGGTCAGCAGCTGCTACTTTCTTATACAGATTGGAAAGGGAGCAAAAAAGCAGAAATTACGCCATGCCTTATCTGGGAATTACTTGGCATCATTGCAAGTAACATTAAATCCTATACAGAGAAGGTAGGATTTTGAAGTTATAGACATATATTTATTTGTAAAAATAAATTTATGTCACTACATTTTTAATGAGCTCACATGTTTGGTCAGTAATGATAATCAGTAACCATTGTACAGTATATTTAGACATGTACAGGACATTTGGTTCAGGTTCATGTGTTATTTTGATTAAAGAATTAAATTAAAATGCAATAAACATGACATCCTAAAATAAATTGAACACTGGATAATAGGTAATTGCAAAAGTAAAATCTACAACAAGTTTCTGATGAGTTCTATAAAAATGCTATTTCTTCTGTACTTGGCAGTGATTCAGTGGTTACTGGGAGACTGTATTCGGTTCTGGTGTTTGCACCTTTGGGAAAATAAGAAAAGGTGCAGAAGATAGCTTTTTAGACATTGAAAAGGAAAAAAAAAAAGAGGAAATCAGGGCTCAGAATAAGAGTATGTAAAGCACCTCTTACTGAAAGGGTTCAGAAAGCATCTATGCTTAAGCCGTATTTCAGGACTTAAGGCGCTCTCCACAGAAGTTGGAAATTGAACTCATGACACTAGCGGTCTCAGTGGGTGTTGTTGGAGAAAAAGGTCATCTCCTATGACCTGAGAAAAGTCTGCAGGGAAGAGTTAAGGCTGCGAGTGTCTTTTTGATGTAAGTGCCAAAGATCTGAAGAAGGCTTCCATTCATTACCTGAGGGTTTCGTGTTTCCTATGAACCAGAAAAGGCAGCTACGCATGGATTTCATGAAGCTGTTCTGTACCTCCAATTCTCCAAGACTTGGAGAAATCAGTCCTGTGACCTGGAGCAGTGAGTTCCCTGAGATATCAACACTTAAATAGCTAGGCCCTATACACTGGTGAAGGTTGTGATAACTGGAAAACTGATTTTGTGAATTTAACACTTCACCAATTTTCTAAAGGTTATTTTTTCCAGAAGAGACCTTCAATGCACTGTAAAATGGGGTCGTTATATGATTTTTTCCATAGCTGTAAATGGTTTGCAGTGCAGAATGATGCTCGGAGTCAGGTGAAGTCACTGCATTCAGTGTGCTTACACCTGTGCGTCTTCAGTCCAACTAAGAGGTATTGCATGGGAGAGGACAGCACAACTAGCCATGTTAGAACAATGAATGTGAGCTTGACGTTTTCCCTACCAGACTACAGATGAGCGGGTTCGGCTGCCAGACATCCGAGCAAGCAGGTGGTACCAGTTCCGCGTGGCAGCTGTGAATGTGCACGGGACGAGAGGCTTCACGGCACCCAGCAAACACTTTCGATCCTCAAAAGGTTAGTTTTTGTTCATTGTGTCTGGTGCTTACCTTCCACTCATGTGGAGTGCAACCTGGTCTGCCTACTTTTGTGGTAGAAGGTTTTAACAGGTGGGTTTTCAGGTAGTTTTGCCACTGGCTTTAGAAACGGTGTGAGATTTGTCTGAAGTCAGCAAAGGAATTAAAGCTTAAAGATGTTGTTATTCTTTCATCAGTAAGGGGTCTCAATGAATAAACCTTCTTTTAAACATTTTCTGCATGGTTGGTCTCAAAAAACATGACCCTGACCATGAAACATGAAGGAACTGGGGTTTCAGTGTGTTATTCCGAGAGGTTTCTCTTATTTTTCCTTCTGGATATAAGAAATATGTTGCTGCCATATGTTTAACAGAGTACTGAAATATTCTGTTGCCTGTATCTAGCAGCATTGTTTTGATGGAACTGAGGGCTCTCTTAATATAACCTTCTGCTTGGTAGCACTAACTGTGAGGGCTTAAGAATAAAGAATATAAATGCTAAGTAGCATGTTTCTGTTCATTAGAAAGTCATGCTGGACAATCCACAAAGTATTGTAGGAGTTTTTGTTGCCATTTCTGGTTTTGCAAGGGTTTGGGTAATAAAATAACTTCAAAAATTATTTGTGTGCCAGTAAACAGTACTTGGGGGGTGGGGGAGATAGAAACCGATCTCGCATTCTGTGGAGTTCCTAGCTTTGTCCCTCATGTGCCTTTAACCCACACAAAACACTTTCCTGGATGGCTCTTGGGCTTAGTATAGGAGTTAGCAAAGGCCAGAAACTATTCCCAATGGACAGATGGTCTAGATGTGGTCACCCTCTCTTAAAGGCACTTAATAATGTGGACATTGCCAGACTATGCTAGTTGATTTTAGTGCTGAAGAATGAGATCTAGCATTCTTTACTCGACTCATAGAAGATGTCTCTAATAGAAAGACTTGTCTTTGTTTTAGTAGTGACAGAATCTTTATACTTGTATAACGCATACTTTGAGGAATGCATTTCCTCTTCGTTCTGCAGATGGATTTATCTTGCAATACAGGCAGCAGCCATCTATGGGTTCCCATGCTAGCTTTTTGCTTGCTGTTAAGCCATAGTCCTAGGAAAAAATCTTACTGTAAATGCAGTTATAGAGGCATGCAAATACTTTTGCTGGTATGGATGGTTTAATTACTTATGGAATAATTATACGTTATAGTGGGAAGGTTGGCTGGCATAGCTATCCCATTACTGCTTTGACCACAAACCTTTTCAAGTATAACAGAAGTATTATTTTAAAAATTTATTATACTTTAGTAGCATACCATTTTAGTCAAATAAAAAATACAGTTCCTTCAAGCTGCATTGAGCTTACTGCAAGGTCTCAGCTGCAGCAATAGCTTTTATTTCACTTTTCTTCATGAGCAGCACTTCAGCAGATACAGCAATTTGTTACTGGCACCAACTTTCTCTTAGACTGAGAACATTGTCAGTTGTTTTATTGAGTTTGTAAAGATTTTCCAGCTATTCTGCTTGGAACCACTATAGTTGCAATTACATAAAGGTATATCATGATAACTCTGAGGTTTTGGCTTGAGCATGACATTTTCAGGCAGGATTTGTATTACTTCCCCAGAAATTCATCCCCTACTGATTGTGCTAGCCACAGGAGTATAATGTTCAAAATACCTACACTGGTAATGGATGTCTGTGGTAAGTCATACTGAAGCTCTCTTTAGCTCAATATCTGACCCCAGCCAGAAGTAGATTTCTGGAGAATAATTGTAAGAGCAGGATAAGCACATAGGGATATGTCTTCAGAACAGTCTCCCAGCTTTTGTGTTTTGTGTTTGAAACACTGATCTGTGTTTCAGGAGCTTGTGGTTCTGAGATGACTCTGTGTTAGATATCAGAGTCCTCTTTTATTGTGGTCTCTGCAGCTACCCCTGAACCATTTGCTCCTTTTGAGTACTGCTCATGGCTGTCTGGTGGAGAGCACTTCTAGAACTTTGTGACAAGGACAGTAGGAGCCAGTACTACCTCTGCATGCTCTTTATCTAATAAACAAAAATAATGGGATCTTGATAATTGCACGAAGTGCGTATCCAGCGTTGTTCAAAAGGCTTCTGTAACTCAAAATAATGATTTTTCAAATCTAAACTACAGTCCTTGGCAAAGAATTGTGAATTACCAGAAAAACAGCAAGGAGTTCAGTTAGCTATCAGCTTTGCAGCCAAAATCATCCTACTGTGGCAGCTCATTTGACTGCTTTAGGGTCTTTGGTATTGTCAGTGGTTATTGTAAAGATACTATGTTCACCAGATAAACATGTACTTGCGCTAGTGACTCACATGAAAATGCTGCTAGGTGGTGACTGTTGGGAACGATACTGGGATGCTTCAATCGGTATTTCTTAGCCTTCATGTCCCCAAGTAGGCACTCATAGTGGTAACAGTTACAGTGTCGTATAGACATTTAATTACTACTTTGGAGCTCGGTGGGAAGTAGCAGCCCCTGCCTGGCAGAGAGGCAAGAAACTGCTGCTTAGATGTGCCTAGCTTTTTGAATGCCAGCATCTACTGGCCCCTGCTGAGCTCCTACAGGCACATTTAACCTCCAGTTTGGAAAAGGAAAGTGGACTTTGGCAGGCTACCTTTGGAAGGTTGCTGACTGTCTGTGCTACGTTTGTATGAAGTGTGGACAGAAATTCACATCAGTTCTTGTACTGTTTCACTTCACCCTATTGTGCCAAGACCAAGAGAAGATTATTATCCGTGTCAGACTTAACAGAAGTTTTCTTTAAAAAGAAATCCTTTGATCAGGAAACATGACAGTAATTCCTAAGATGGTTTCTCATGCAAGATGCTGAACTTTTACCAGTTGCTCATAAGTTATAATGAATAGCAAATTATTTGGGTTTATTTTTTCTTCAAAGTAGGACAAACATGATATATAATCTGAATCTAGGGAGGAGTATGGCACCACAATGTCTCTGTTGCTAAATATTTTAAGCTGTTAAAAGGAATATTCAAAAACACGGTGCTGTAATTACTTGGAGAGAGACTTTTTGTCTGGTTACTACAAAACTGTTTTATACTGGTTTATGTTTTTTTTTTCAAATGTAAAAAATAGGATCTCTAAGTAGACACAGCAAAGAAAGGTTTTCGTATGTTCAAATTAATGTGAAGTCTACTGAGGTATGTAATTTTCATTAACTTTTCTATCACTAAATAAAGCTCCTTATTAACAAAATTAATTAAATTTCCCAGTCATGAAATAGGCAAAACCAGAAAAACAAGAGTATTTCATCAAGCATTTCAGCTTACCATTCTGCATCTAGTTGTGTTTTGAGGTTTTATCTATTGCAGGTTTTGATACTCCTATACTATAAACTTTTGAGGTGAAGGTTTATGAACTGTTCTGCACTGCCTCGTGTTCATTTATGGCATTAATCTGTAAACAATAATCAAAGTGACACATGTGAGATAATTTATGAAATATTCAGAGCTTAAGCAGAGGTTTTTTTAATGTTATTTCTTTTTAATAAAAAAAATAAAGGGTTTATATGTGCTTGTCTGGGATGACCCTTCACAGGAATGAAGTGATGCTTCAGTTTACCAAAATGCAATTCCAAAATTACAAGAAATGCAGGTTAGACTAGGCCTGTCTGTTTGGAGCAGAGTTGCTAGAAGATGAAGTGAATACTGCACCTGGGAGAGTGAGTTCTTTCCTAGAAGTAGGACTCTGCACGTGGATTTTCGGATTGATACTGTCAGCTAAAATTGATCAAAACCTTCCACTATTTTGACAGTGGTTTGCAGTTCTGTTTTCAAAGTTTTTAAATGGTGTGTGCTTTCTTTTTCATCTTCAACTGAATGGCAATACTTTGCAATAACAGCAATAAATAAAGATAACGGAATGCCTGAAAGAACATTTTTGGTTCCCAAAGTTAGGCATATATTTCTTTTAGTATTTTGACTGGCACTCTCCAACTGCTTCATTTTCTCTGGAAGCAGAACTGTTCCTACAATCCACATGTGAGTCTCCTTGGAAGAAAAGCTACCTCCGCTTTTCTCCCATTAAACAGGCACCAGATAGACTAACTGAACTGGTGAGAAGCTGCTCAGCACTAGTAATAAAATTTTTGATTTGTTGCAAGAATTTTTAGGCTATTTTTTCTAGCTTTTTGTAATAAGGATGAACTCTTAGTAAACAGACTGCAGTTACTTAATGGGATAAGTGTTAGGCATTTCCATGTTATCTTGCTGGTCTGTAGTTAGGTACGGTGCATTTTCTGAGATCACACAATAAGCCCAAACCATCTGATCCTTCTATGTCTCCTGAAGGTTTTTGTCTTCAACATGAAGGCAGTTGCTAGCATACACAGGATAAATTGTCAGGCAAAAGGAAGCAGACAACATTGTTTTCACAGCACATAAGTACCATGCTGGATGTGATTTCACGCATACATTACTGAGTGTTAGAAAAACTAGAACAGACACCCACTCCTTGCAATAAAATTCTTTCTGTCGCTCCTTTGGGACCAATGATTTTTTTATGCTGTTGCACAGCTGGTTTATGTGTGCCATTTCCATTGGGCAAAGTCAGTCTTCCTGCTTATGCCTTGGAACTGTTTAATGGTTGGAAACCATTACTGTCTGTAGAGCAGTTTCAGCAGATTTTTAGAGTTGGAAGGTCTAATGTTTAAAAGATAGCAATGGCAAATCCATTTTAAGTCAGGAAAAAAAGCTGCTTAAAAAGGCTTTAAATTAGAGTCAAACTTGCTATCACTTTTACAGCTCAGAATGAGAATTCCGGTCCCAACGTCATTCTGTCCTTCTCTGACAATATTCTAAATCACTTACTGTTTTCACCACAGTTGCCACATTTAAAGCCAAAGTGGATGCATTGCAGCAGTGTACGGTGATGTGATTCTTGTGTACAGCTTGGCCATACTGTTTTGTTAAGGTTGTAAAAGTGCTTCCAGATCCTACTGATTGAAAAAAAAAAAAAGCAAAATATAAATTGTCTATCACTGTTTACAAATATGAATGTGGGAAGATGTGCGTTTTGAAATGGTGATGATGTGAGGGTTTTCTTTTTTCTTTTATTTACTGCAAGAAATCCTCTCTGTTGGGGGCTGGAGACTGAATTTTGCTTGTGAGTAGCCAGCAAGACAAGAATTTAAGCCCTTTGGGTATACTCAAGCCAGATACAATCCAGACAAATGCAGTACTTACTCCATGTGCTGGAACAGCAGCTTCAGCCTTGACCTAATGAAGCTATCATTTCTAGCAGTGAGAAGTGATTTACTTGTCAGGCTGCTGAGACCAGATTTTTTTTTTTCAGATTTGAGGACAGCTGCCTGTGCCAAATTCTAGTATATATAAAATGACTTTTATTTGAGTTTTAGTATAAACTGCAATGGAAAGCTACAACTAGCATCACTATTTCTGCAAGCCAAAGAATTTAATTTAACACTCAGATAAATTCATGTATATAAAATTTCAGAACTTTACATTTGAAAAACTGGCAGTAGTTTCCATTTCAGTAATTTAATGTTTATGTATCTGAATTATACGTGGGCAGTCAGTCAAAGGGATCACAGATATACGAAGAATAACAGCAGCATGGCTGTTAGCTTTATAGTCAACAGAATGCCAGTTCAGCTTCGTAGTCAGGTTAACAAACACCTTATGTATATAAGCTTTATCATCCAGTACCAGTTAGTAGACCTGGAAGTATTTCTGCATGACTTGTATACTGTTTTTAGTTTGCGTAGACATAAGCACCTTCTAGAAGCATGACTTTTCCATTCAGTAGTGCAGAAGAAAACAACTGGTAACTGGCAGGCATATGTTATGGAAGAGCATGCTCTTATACTTAACAGTTTTTTGGAAGTTGGATTTGGGGGGGGGAGTGGCCTTTGAATAGGTCTGGGTTTGGGATTTTGGGGTTTTGGGGTTTTTGTGTGTGGGTTTTTGTGTGTTTTGTTTTTTTTAATTACTATTTTTGTTGGTTTGGTTTTTTGGGGATGGGATGTAGGTCATTTGGGTTTTTCTCCTGTTAATAACAGAGATCACAATATCTTGTCTTGAACTATTCTTTTTTACCTGTTTATTGTGCTGGTGAAACTCAATTCTTTTCAAATTAAAGATTAATATTCTTGGGGTTTTGGCTCAAAAAATGATAGTTCTATCAGTTGTAATAGTGGTGAGGGTCACAGAAATATATAGAAATAGATGAATAAATTATATAGAGGTATTGAAACTCCAGCTAAGGAATGGATACTTAGCTGCAATAAAATGCTCACTAAGTGGCTTCATATTTCAGGTAATACACTCTAAATCTAAGAAACATTTTAGTGTTGTGTCTCTACAGTTTGGTTGGTTGTTTTTCAGAGGATTAAATGCAAAACAGTAATAAATTAAGTTTTGTTCAACTTTGACATATTATGTTTTTCTAGATAATTATTTTTCCCAGATTAGTCTGCTAGTTTCTAAAACATCTTTTAGACAACATGGCACTTTCAAATGTCTCACTTTTTCACTTCTGTCAGCTGTAGATCTCCTTCTTTTCTGTCTTCTACTGCTAGCACCACCATTCTTCCTCCTGTTCAAAGTCATTTTTGAGGATGACATTTGCAAGGTTTGCAAAAGAGAGACTGAAGAAAGGAGGCGCTCAGGAAAATGTTTCTGCTATTGCTGTTTTATTTCACATCTATATTCCTTTCAAAAGGACATTCTTTCTTTTCTTAACTATAATTACCCAATGTTTTTTTAATACGACGTTTACATTCTCCCATTGCAAATGAACACTACTGGGTTTTTTAAATATGGATCAGTGTTTTGTCTGCTGACTGCACTGTTTCTAGCAAACACAGGTGAAGTGCTATTGATAAAGTAATGTTTTCAATAAACTGAGCAATTATAAAAAGTACAGAGTGAAATTCTGGTGCTCTAGAAGGCAGAAGAAATGGTCTGTTTGTTTCTGTATGCACGTAGCTCTTCCTTACTGCTTTCTCTTTCTGCTTATGTCTCTGCGAAAAACAGGGATGTTTGAAGTTACCTTAAAACAAACAAGCAAACAAACAAATTCCTGTGATTCTGAGACATATAAAACTTCGTTCTGGTCAATCGTTAACTTTGTACAAGGAAAAATTACAAACTATCTTGTTTTCTTAAGGGGACAGAAACATTTGAAAAGGAAGAACATTAATTCGGTCATTTGCTTTTAGACCTATGAAAAACAGGTGAATAGAACTTCAGATTATTTTTAATCATTTTGTCCACAAGAGTTATTTCAGTCAACTTTTAGATTGTTTTTTTAATGACTCACTAAGTCTTTTATAGATACAGAAGGAAGACAAGCATTTTATGTTTAAAATTGTTTTTTCTTACATCTGACCATTTGTGAAGACATATTCTCTGAAACACTTTAATTCTATCCCATATGTTATCTTTAAATAATACATGATGCATAGTACTTCTGGGAGTTAACCTGAATAATTCACCTACGGTAATATGATCATGTTGCACTTCAGGTTATAAATCTTTTATTGCCGTAATATGTTGTCATATTACATGAAAAACACCTACCATTTTAAATCAGTGAAGATGAATACTTAATAAAGATTTTGGATTTGTAAATCATGATTTTGCTCATATTTATTGAACCTAAATTTCACTTTATATCTGCTTGTTTTATTAACAAATAGAAGTAAATGTAAAGTTGTGTTAGAGAACAGTATAAACCACTTAACTAAATTACCTCTTAAATTTATCCATTCCAATATAACTAACTTTTATACATTATATGAGTAGTTCCCATAAAGGGATCTGGCTTGCAAGCTGATTAAAAAAAAAGTGAGAAGAAATGTGGAATTCGCATTATTTTTAAAATTAATTTAAATTTCCAGAATTCTCAAACTCAAGTATGCTTTGTAATTTTTATGGCCAAAAGTTAGGTTGAATTATATGTGTGAGGAAATAGGGACATCCATTACTATTTGGCTAAAATGGCATGTGTGAGGAAACAGAAGCATAGCATCCATTGTTATTTAACCAAGACTCTTGTTAAATAATAGGAACCAGCAATTATTTCACATCTGCTGATCTTAAAAGGGAAATGCTATCTTTATTAATTCTGAATGTGTCTGTTTGCATGAGCTAAATTATGGAATTTTTCAGTGAGACAGTTTGTGATAGGGATTATCTGATGAATGTAGTATGCCTGGAAAGCGTATTTAACAGCTCATTTACCATTATAAAAAGATGCAGGTGAACCATGCAATAAATGAATGCCTGGTGTCTCTGCACACGTTGAGTTTTATTTCTGACAAATAAGTGGTGTCTCATTTGGTTAAAAAGTTATATGAAAATGGTTTCTTTTTGGTCAGATTGTTTTTTTCTTGGCTACAGCTTCATAACATGGCCTAATTTTTATGAATTTCCTTTATTCTGCCTGATATAATTTTTTATTTTTTGAGTCACGTTGTTTTCTTTTTTAATTTTATTTTTGCAGTTGCCTTATATTTTGTCATCAATGTTTTACTTTTATGAAAGCATAATATATCATTACATCTTAATTATATTTATTCTAAGAAAGTGTTTATGTCCCATAGATATCAATACTAGAATTTTGAAGAAAGTCTCAACATGTAGAAAGTTAATTTTTTCATCTGAGAATTGTCTGTCAAGAAAAAAAAAAAATATTGAGGGTTTCCATCATACAATTCTGTGATGACTATACACTTGTAGAAGAGGAGTGTTTAATGCTTGCTGTGTATTTGAAGTAGTGTTTCATGGAAGTAAAACTGATAGTCCAGTACATAAAGCTTTGTAATGTTTGTGAACTACCAACCATACAGAATAATGACAAAACCAGATGCTAACCCATCATTTTTATTCCAGTAAAGTTTGAATTTCTGGAATTGACAAGAAGCCATATCACTTATTGGAAATTTTTGCCTCAGTTTTCTTCAGTGTATTGAGAATGTTTAATCCAGCTCTTGTATGCCTGGTAAATACATAAGATAAAAATGATCTTTACCTTACTGAAGATGATCTTTATTTTAGAATATTTTTGTTTGCTTTAAATTCTAGATCCATCTGCTCCACCAGCTCCATCTAATATCAGAATCGCCAATATCAGTGCAAACAATGATGGGAGTGTAAATGTAATGATTACTTGGGATCTTCCAGAAGAGCCTGATATCCCAGTGCACCATTACAAAGTCTTCTGGAGCTGGACATATAGCAAATATGTAATCCCAGCCAAAAAAAAGAGAAGGAAGATTACTGATGGGGTAAGAAAGAAAATAGTCAATGAGACAGAAGTAATGCTTATTTCTCACACAAAATAGAGTGTAAGTATAAAATAAGTGATAAATAGCAATGATTTCAGCAGCTGGTAAACTAGGGGTCTTAATTTTTAATATCAGGAACCCCATAGACAATTTTGATGTCTCAGTGCCTATCTTTCACTGAACTCAGGGAGAGAAGTAGACTTCAGCCTTAAAATGCAGGCAACTGTTACCAGATTTTACAGGAAAGACGAATAGAAAGTTAAGTGCTATTTGTCCTCTAAATTCAGGCTTATTTTTTAGTGCTTCTTAAAGATACAGTGCTTTATTTTATTTAAAAAGCCTAGCGTCATCTGTCACATTGTCTTTTCACTATGCATGTAAAACTTGTGACACTGTGATATAGAGTAACCATTAAATAGTCAGTATAGATCCAAGGAAAAAAAACAACCCAAAACTCTTTAAATAAGCTTCTGTACCACAGATCTGATGTATTTTCATAGCAGCCAGCTCCTATGACTTTTTTGAATGATGTATCAAATACTGCTTTACTTGAAAATTATTTGTTGTGATATCCCTAAGCATATTGCATATTGTTTTGAAGTAATTAATAGAAATAGAAATAAATTACAGATAAGAGGCTTGAACTTAATTCTCAATGCTTTTAATAAGTGTATGGTGAGAATCTGGTCCCAAGTCTACGCTAACTGTGTTTTGGCTCTGGCTGCCCACCTACAATGTGATGAGTGACAGCTGGAGGGTTGTAGTTCCCTCTGTCCCTCAGTCACCAAACTCTGAGAGAAATAAAAGCAATGAAGTCTGTGTGCTGAATTTGTGCAAGTAAATACACACAGAAAAGAAAGTTAGTTCTTTGTTACACTCTTAAAATATCACTTTGGCAAGATAGGAGTAGGGTTGGTCTGTGTTATGTAAAAAAGTTTGTGTTTCTTGGAAAAGCTGCCATTGGCTGGAGATCTTCATGACAGAGGCTACAGCCTAAAGGTACAGGGGACCTTTTTTCCACAAGCTGGTCCTTAAATCACAAAACCCAAAGAATTTTCAGATTGAGCTGTGTCCTTAATTTTGTGTTGGCATTTTACATAGGGGATATCCTACCTATAAATGCGTTACAATAGATCCAGTATACAACATTATGGTAATTGGAACCAAGTTCTGACCTTGAATATAGGGAAATCCAGAAGTTCCAGGGCATATTTTAGAGAAAAGGTAGGCTCTTAGAGTATATTTCATATTACTCCAGTCTCACTGTAATTTTTCTTCTGGAGCATGAAGTTGAATTGTTGAAACAAATAGAATATGTTGAAAAATGTAGTGAATGTTGGATTTTAGCTGTCTGCAGACTGGCTGTCTCTAGCAAAAGTTTCCAGTTTGTTTGGTAACACAGAAATTGGGGAATAAACAGTTTAAATTTCTTTGGCTAAAATAATTTTGGCATAAGAAAAAAAATTGTTATGCAGAAAAAAACCTTTATTTTTTTCCTATACAATAGGTGACTGTGTTTGCCAAGGAATTACCAAAATTATGTAAACATCAAAAAGGGTAGTATTTTAAAAGTTACACAGAAAACCAGAGCCTAATAAAATATATTTTAAAAAGAGGAAATTTTGCTCTGTTGAAATTTTTACATGAATTTATTTTCTAATTTCAAAAAAGTAGTGTGCCTAACATAACAGGCCTGCTTTTATTAAGTGCCTGTTTCAGTAATATTGTAACTGCTTTCTATTTTTATTCTATTATAGGCCCAAAATTATGTGGTCCTGGAAGGACTCCAGCCCAACAGCAACTACAATGTAGAACTGCAGGCAGTAACACGCTGGGGCCAGATACGCCTAAAAAGTGCTAAGGTTTCTCTTCATTTTAGTACAACTCAGGACACCAGGAATAATAGTGAGTAATTGTATTCAAGCACCTGAATGCTTTATCTCTTCTTTATCTGGAATTTGAATGTTTTATATAATGAGTTTTCAAATAAAATAAAAAATTTCTTAAAGCAGGCTGTTTGATAGCATAGTCATCCTACCCCAGTCAGGTTGAGTAACCTTTTAATGTTAAATTTCTTATCTGAAAAATGGTGACAGTTTTTGCCTAACTCTTTGTCTTAGATTCCACTCATCTAAAATGAACAATGGCAATGAAAATGGAACCATTTGCACAGCTATGATGTTAATATTTTTCAAATGCAATGCAGGTATAAATACTGAGTATATTTCTCAGAGGCTGGAATAAAACCATTTCCGTGTCTCTGTCTTAACTGGACAGTTTTAGCTTGCAGTGTTTTTCAAAATCCTGACTATTTTGAGTAGGCCATTAATTCAGATTCTTGGACCACATAAACATGTATCTACTCTGAAGTGATTTAAAATATCGATCATTCTATTAATCTCAAAATATATCACACAGGGTACCCACATTCGAATTGAAATCTTGAGATCTTTAGATGTTGGGCTATGTCTTGTTAAGATCTTTGTAACTTTACATGCTAAATAATGTAATTGAAAAGCCTATCTGAATCTCAGAGTAAACCATGATTCTTTTTCTTAGTGAAATGCTATTTGTACAATTGCAATATGATACTGAGTTACTGCCGCAACTGATGATGTGTCTCTAATTAACTAATACAGCAAAATTCTGATAAGATGTTGAAGGATATAATTTTAAATATCCTGCCCTGACTCCATTTTATTTGCCATCCATTTACATTTTCTTTTTAAAATACACTAACAGTTTAAACTTTCCTTGTTGCCATTTTCGTAACATAATTAATTACTTTCACCCTGAGTAATCAATTGCTATTGTTGCTAGACCATTCTTCAAGCCTATTGAGTTTGGATATACATATAACATTTTAAAGTAGCTGTTAGCTATGACAGACCTTCATCTACAGTTGCTTCCCACGTTACTGTACGGAGAAGGAAAAATAGACCTAAATATCTTTTTCCCATATCATGCTTAGTTTTTGCTACTTTTTGGCTATTTTAAGAGACACCAGAAGGCCAAGTTTTCATCTCATCAATACACTGAGTCTTTGCTTGAAATCCATACTAGAATATGAAATGGAATTTCCACAGTGTGTACATAAGGCAACTTTGTGTTAATCCTCAGTGAAGCCTAATGTAAGTGAATATAACAGTTCTGCCCTTTCCATACTGGCTCTCCCAGACTTTACCTGTGTTTTCTGCTGTCCACGAGAAAGATGACATAGTTTTCAGAACTGCACAATATACCAGATTTAGTTTTTCTTTCTTTTTTATATGCACACAGGAGATGTAATAGAAGACGAACTATGGTGGGACCTGGGTGTGTAATTCTAGTACACTCAGGCACTGAGCTCAACTAGAAGCCTATCATTGGTGTTTATGAGAGATGTTCTCATTGTGCTGAGTATTTTTCTAAGAATTTTTTATTGGTTTTGCTTCTTTTTTTTTTTTTCCTGTTGTTTGGGGGGTTTGGGTGTTTTTATTCTTTTTTCCTTTTTTTTCTGCAAAGCATTTTTTGCTAGATAAACAAGGAAAAAAACCAAAACTTTTTTCTTTTTTTAATCATCTCTCCTTCTGTTTTGTTTTGGGTATTTTGTTTTTCTTTTCTGATTAGAAGTTTCTGTGAAGTTCTGGATCTCAGTGCTAATAAACTTCAGGGTGTTTACTTTTCAGTCCAATCTTCTTGACTGGAATTTCACCAGATTACATCACAGCTCTGAGAAAGGACGTGCAACTGAGTTGAGTTTACATCCAGTCACAGGAGAAGGCTGGTGCCTGGATTTCACCTGGGTCTGAGGCTGGGCTGTGTTCTGGTAACTGGGAGGAAATTCTGGGTGCCATTATACACACCTAGCCAAAATGACATTGGGCAAGCTGTTGAATTTCTTTCTCTCATTTTACTATGAGAATAGTCTTATAAACTTTCCCCTCTTGGCAGCAGGGATAATTAATCAACTGGTGTTTGTCAGGCTCTATTGCTAGTCCTATTAGGTCACATGATCATAGTCTTTAAACATGGTAGTAAGCAAAGACTTTCCATGTAACAACCTCCCCCCCCCCGCTAAACTGAAGGTAATTGATACTGGAATGTGTCATTTTTCTATACCATTCTATACTTACTGTGAGAAAACCTTTTATTGGTAGTATCAAATCTCTTCATGGCCTTACTAATGTTCTGTCTCTCATGGTCTGTATCACCAATGGGTTTGTGTTGGGAGAGGAAGATTTTTGTTTCACTTTCCCCTCTACAAAAGGTTGTCCCCTCTACCAAATGGAGTTCATTTACCCTGTATCTCATATGTGCCTTTGGTGGTTCATCATCTTACGTCCACTCCAGTGGCATCTATTTCCTGTCATTGTCACGGCTAGATTTAAATTCCTCCCACAATTTTGCTTGGATAATTTGCCCTCTCCTTGATTGTTTTACTTCAGAAAACAGTCCATCAGCAGTTTCTGTGTGTCTGCTATCTACTAATATCCAGATGGAGTTCATTTACCCTGTATCTCATATGTGCCTTAGGTGGTTTCATCATTATAGACTTTCCAATGCCTTGTGCTTTGTTTCATTTTGCTGTGGTGACCTTCTTGGACCAAAAGATTTATTAATTGTTCTATTGTTTTTTAAAGCAAAGTAATACTATACTAAGAGCAATATTTTTGTTTTCTCATATATTCAAAGTATTTGACTGTAATGTTCAAGTTATGAACATGCATTTAGTTAATGAGCAGTATTTTCTTAGTGCCTAAGCACTAATATCACACGTTTCAGTGGATAGAGAACTCTGCTGAGAAGTGTATTTGGACCTCTGGACATTTTTCAAAAAATGGTTAAATTATAGCTTACATAGAAAAGCAAAAAAAAAGGAACCTACTCCTGTAGGAGATGCAAATTCATCTTCTGAATCTCACTGAAGTTAGTTAGGAACAGAGCCAGTTCTGCTTGAGGTACTTTTGAGAGTGCTCAGAAGCAGATGGAGAAATGTGAAAAAGAAAAAAATATTGCCTGAAATATTATCTAGGACATGACATTCATGGCCTGTCTTTATTTGGGGACTTCCGTGGCCTTTGGGAAGTAGTTCCAGAAGCAACATGCCAATTTTGTTGAAGTCCCTCTGTCAGTTGTTCTGCTCTCTCTGGAATTAAGCTCTGGGTTTTTTCAGTGTCTTTTCCTATTGTCAGAATAAAAAACAGTCCATAACCTGCTGAAGTAATTTAGTCCTACAGACCTCTGTGAGCTTTGACCCTGGCCCTCTGGCATTACATTTCCCCACACTCAGAAATGCATTGCCTCACTATATTTGTAAGCTTTGCTTCTGGGAAATGCAGCAAGACTGACTCTCTTGATTTTTATATAGAAATATTCTAAATCTGTGTCCTGGTTTTTCTGGAAGTGGAGCAGACAGAGAACATAAAAGCAGATGCTTAGTAAAATTAAAATACTTTAAATTGAGGTATACCTAATAGATTTAAGTCTGCTTCTCTCTATCAATTTTTTTTATTTTCTTTGTAGTATAAACATTATGGTTACCTTGAAAAATAATAATTTGCTTAAGTTTGGTAGTTTTGCTTTAATTTAAAACAGGCAAAGAAAATTTAAAATTGTATCAGATTAAGCAAAGGATTAAGAACAAAAATTTGGCCAAAAAGCAAGTGGGTTTCAGCTGAAGCTATATGTAGGGCAAAATATTCAAGTTTACATGTTACTTATGATAATTATTGAAATCTGAATCTTTCCCTTTTTCTCTCATGCACGGAATTAGTAATTTTCCACTTCCTTATTATTGAAATCTTTATTTTTCATTTATGTGTAAATTGAATTAAATACAGCTTTTTTAAAACCGATGCAAATACTATCCTCTGAATTGGAACAGATATATTTGCATGTGTGCAGTGAAAATGCAGCTTCAATCAGCATTTTGCCTTTTCAACTGAAAATATCTATAAATACTGTCAACCCTGCTAACTGTTGATAAACTGTTGCTAAATGAAATGCTTGATGAAGGACATCCTATTACCATTACTTGTTGGAAGTTAGGCACATAACACCAAAAGGATCGCTCAAAGTTAATTTTGCTCTTACAGTGTTTTCCTAAGCATTCGCTGTTCACTGTTGGAAACAGGAAAGTGGGCAAGAAAGGTCTTTAATCTGACCATAGTGTTCCTACATAGCATGCTGAAGGACTGTGTTTACTTTGATGTAATAACCACATGTGGCACTCTGTGGGTTACACTCAATGTCATCCTTGGGTTTTGTGTATATTCAAACACTGCACAGATATAAAAGCCATGAATGATTATACAGATACTATGCCTGTTTAAAAAGTCAATGTGTTAACATTTCTAGTTCTTGGGGATATGAATACACTCCCTTTCCTTATGATTCTTCTGAAAATTTACAGAGCATTTTCATACTAAATTATATTTCAATTTTTCTCTCTCTAAAATATTTTTTGGCTGAATTTCAAATGAATTATATGCTTTTGAACCATTATGGATAATTTGTTATTTATGTTAATTTCATTTAGGTGAGATACTGAAATAAGATAAATTGGATTAAAGATAGTATAATTTTCTGAATTGCAGCACTGTTAACATAGTCATTATACAGCACATAAATAATTTCCTGATTGTTCTATGTATTGCAGAGGAACGAACATCTGCTGCTGGGAAACTCCAGAAAGGACTGGTAGATCCTTACCCAACCTTTCAAAGAAGAAAACCCACTCGTTTTCTTAAAATTGGAAGTCCTTTCTATCAGGACAATCAACTTCAGGTCAAAGTATACTGGAAGAAGACAGGTTTGTTAAATTTTTGTTTTACTATTATTTTCTAAGGAGGAGCTCTCATCAACTACCTCAGACTTGTAGAACATTAACATAATATAATGAACCTTATACAATAGTTCAAAGTTAAATCCTACACCAATACTTCCATCCTTACACCTTCATGTTAGAATGAAACATTGGTCTCTCTTTGTGTTGTCTGTGTAAATGTCTTGCTGAAGGAAACGACATGAATCAGCTATCCTAAAATTACAGTCAGTCGTGTTGGGAATTTCGTCTAATGATACTACAGTATCACTTGAGTCAGTAAATGAATGTATATGAAAATCATGCACTGGTGTCACAAAAACTAAATTGCAGTTCAAACCATGAAATTTAGAGCTATAGTGACTCATATTAGGGCCATGATAGGCTTTATGCTGAACTTTATAAGTCACCTTGAATTGGAAAAGGATGAATAGTTGGACACAACGACTAGAAAAATCTTTAAGTTGGTTTTCTGCTAGGCAGCATTCACCCTTCTATTTTTCAGAAAAATCTTAACAACAATTTTATGTTTAAGTCTCCCAGTCTAAAGGAAAATGCCATAAACTTTAAGTGTCTAATCAGATTCAGAAATAAAAAAAGGGATTTTCCTTTCTTACCTTTTAGGAGCATATAGGTTGTTACACATTGCTCCAGCTTAGCCATGACAGGTTCATACAATGTTATTTGAAAATGTGCTTAACACTGTTAGTGTTTTAACTTGGAGCAATCTACGTGTGTAGCAGTGGCACATGTATAAAATCCACTCAATTTTTGTCTTTGAAATAAAGGCCTACAAAATGGATAATCATAGAATCATAGAACGGTTAAGGTTGGAAAGGACCTTAAGATCATCTAGTTCCACCCCCCTGCTGTGGGCAGGGATGCCTCACCCTAGACCATGTTGCCCAAGGCTCTGTCCAACCTGGCCTTGAACACTGTCAGGCATGGATCACCCTTTCTTCTGCAAATTTTCAAAGAATTTTAGAAATATTGAAGTTATTTTGCGTTTAGGTGTATGCAGCATCACCCTGAATGAGAAAATGCTGTAAAACCATTCAGTTGTGGTATGCAGCATAAGAATGTGTCACACTGGATGGTGTCGATGGTGAGCAGTATCGAGTGCTTCTTAAAAAATGCCTGCCTGTTTGAACATTTACCTTTCTAGCCCTGCTATATCAAATAATTAAAATCAAATGCTTATTCCTCCATAAAATCTTTTGCTCAGCCTGACTACTTACATATTTTGAATGTTTGTCCCTATCTTGGTTATGCTAGTTTTCATTTTTTCTAGCTTTCCCCATTATATCTCATTTTTGCCTAACTTCAGGAAAAGCTGGAATAATTTAAAGTTTAAATAAATGAATACTGAACTTACTTAAAAAATAAAGTTTTGATTATCCAAAATGAGATTTACATATTCTGAGCTTTGAACTGATCACCTTAAGCTTTAGCTCTCTGCAAGTGAGGTACAACTCATTTTCCAAGCTCCTTTTATATCAGAAAAGAAAAGCAGGTGACTTCTGAAGCAATCCATCCCACACAGTAGCAGAAGCATTCTCTGGAGATGCCTCTGTTCCTTATGAGCACAGAAGGGAGGCCAGACAACTCATTTGTAGAAGGCTTAGAGACACCTAACATCTCTCTGTGAGCTGAGTTCAATTCTCAGCAGATTGAACTAAAAAAGATGAGGAGCAGGATTCAAAGATGAGGAGACTATGATGTGTCCCACTGGCATAAGGTTGTACAACTCACAGTCTGTACTGGGCAAAATTCAGTCCAGTACAATAATTGGTCCAGCTGCAGCTATTTCCCTTCCAGCCTGTTTGCAGAAGAAAGATTGTGTCCTCTGCGGCCAAAATGCCAGCACCCCCAGTGAAATGCACCTTATTAATAGTTTTCCAAGATTAATGGAGAGAAAATCATAAGAATACAACAATATTCCTGTTCCAAAGAAAATACTTTGAGCTGGGTGTCCACCAATTATAATGGTAACTTAGATACTGAGCTTATAAGTAGACATTGTGTCATAGATAGCTAACTATTGACATCTAAATCTGGAGCTGAATCCTACCCTGTGTTACATACACGGAGGCAATACTTGTATTAAAGGCTATAGATGCCTATAAAAAGAAATGACGTAGTCAGCATTCTCATAGTGGCTCATTGTTTGGAAATAAAAGCGTTCAGAAGTAGCGTAATCTCCACAATTTGAGATCTTCAAAGACAGATATGGCACAGACCTGTTAGAAATTACATGGATTTACTTGCTGTCACCTTGTGCCAGGGATGGATTAGTTAAGTTCCTGAGTAGCTGACTGTACAGCTGACTCATCTTGTGTGAATCTCTGTACATCCAGCTATAAAAGGGAGATACCCAGAAGTCCATCTTCATCATGTGCTGGGAGCAAGCTCTGTCACATGCACTATGTTGTTTAGGTATATGCCCCAGACACAGAGTAGAAGATACCTTCATTTTTCTCACAAAATGAATGGTGATGGTAAAGGTGTGTGAAGAGGGGTAGAATATAGCAGTTTTTCAGACATTTTTCCTTTCTTAGAAGAAAATATCTGAGTTCTGAGTGACAGTATATGTTCTGAGTAACAGAACAGGACCTA